GCATGACCCAGCTGTGTTGATCCTTTTGTGGGGGTGGAGCAAGGCTGGTGCCAGAGCCAACTGTGTGAATGGAGTGACACTAATGGGAACTTGAAAGACAGGTCTCTCTTTCCTCCTCCTGCTTTCATAGCACTCTAGTACCTCTCACTGGCAAAACCATTAGCAAAGCCAGATGTCAAAAGAGTCTGGAAAACTGAGTCTGTAGAATCACAAACCCCAGCAGCATAGAGCAGACTACAGATGGGTAAACAGGGAGAAAGGACAGGTAAATCAGCTGTGGGACATTTCTCTGTGTTTCTTTTAAGGCCCATTTATACTCATCCCCTCTTCCCTCCAGTTGCCCCACATAAAGCATTTCCACTTTAGAAATCTGAATGCCTCCACCAGGCCCTGAAGTACGGGGGCCCCTTTTCCACAGGTTGCCCATTCTCCAGCACCAACAGAAGCTCCATTCTGACTAGAGCTTTCTCAACAGCCGCAGTTGCACAGGTTACTCACTGCGGCGAAGGGACCTCTACAGCCTTCCAGTCTTCCCTCCAGCCGCTTCCTGTTTCCTTCCTTCCTTCCGGCCCCCGACAAACTCCTCCAAATGTGTGGCTCTGCATCCCCTCCTGTCTGGTCACCCAGCCTTCTGGCTGCAGGCCCACCACTCCCTCAGTGGCATAAAGAACCGCTGGGAACCAAGTTTGATGCTTTCTTCAGAGTCTTTCCTCTTGACTTCCTGCTCAGAGTTCTCTTTATAACTGTTCCTTCATCTTCCATGTAATTTTCCAATTGCTGTTTTTCATCTCTTCACTTCTTATGGCCCGTTTTCTTAAACACTGCTCTTCTCTGTAGATCTCTCAGATAGAGAATTAAGAATCAGAGGTCTCAGTCTAAGTATTAGTCATTTTCACATTAAGTATAACACGCCCAGGTTTCCCAACAGCCAACTGAATATGCCACTTAGAATATCTCACACTTACCTAAAATTTAACATGTTCAAATCAACCTCCCTTCTTAGCCAATAAAAGCACTTATTTCTCTCCCGTTCTTTCAGACTGCAACATTGGAAGTTGGTCTGGCCTTATCACAAATCATTTTAATTTTTCTTCATTTTCTTTCTTTTTTCTTTCTTTGTCTTCTCTTCCTTATGTCCTCAAAGCACTGGGACCAGGGCAGTAAACACTTGAGCCTGAAAACATTGGAGCTGGACTGTTCTGATCCTGAGTTCCAACCTTGATTTGGCCACTAACTGGCTGGGGGACCTTGGTTACCTCATCTACAAAAGAGAATAATAAGTAGCGAACTTAGAGGACCAATTTGAGTAAATGTAAAGCACTTAGGAGCCTGGCACATACTAAGTGCCACCAAACTGTTAGTCGTTATTGTTATTATTATCATTATTATTCCTTAGGAACTTCAATTCAGGCAAGGACTGGGAAACCTGTTGCATTGTTAACCTCAGGGAATTTGCTTAATCTCTCTCATTCTCAGTTTCTTCATGAAGAATGATTTCTAATACTAATTTTCTAACATAAATTTTTTTGTCAATATTAAGTAATGTACTTAATAAAGCAATCATCTGATAAATTCTAGCTATTAGTGATATAATGTGATGGCTAATAAAATTAATACCCTGTCATAAAAAAATCACCACATTTTTTATCCTATTTCCTTGTCTAGATATTATACACATCCCTGATATGCATTTTTATATTTTTTATGATTTTATAATGTTGAAATTATGAAATTCATGCCATTTATCATTATTTTAGTCCTATAATGCTATTGTTTCTGCATCATCTTAAAAGTTATCATGTGCATAGACTTCATCAGGCTGATCTACAGCATGTCACTGAATATTTAGACTTTGTTCACTTGAAATTTAAAAGACACTTCCAAGAATATCTGTTCAGTTTTGCTTTCTGGCTTCTCTGAGATTATCTCTAAGACCTTTCATGTGGTATCTATAAACAAGCATTTCCAACATTTTACCCATTCTCTTCATATCAAAATGAGGGTCCAGTTTGGCAATATATTTTTTAAATTTGGGGAAAGAAGGTAATTTTAATGCTCACCAATTTGGGCTTTCAAATCAAAGCAAAATATTAAGTAAATTGTTGATGTATAGTGTGGAATTTGAGTAGATTAAACACATCGACTTTTGAGGGAAGGGTGGGCCTGTAGCCAGAAGGCTGGTTTTGCTCCTTATCTTGCCTGAACCCACAATATTTGAAAGCTCTTAGACTCTGTATGCACCCACAAGAACAAATGTACTTTTTTTCTATCCAAATATCTCTTAAGTAAATATTAACCATGTTGCTTTGCCAAGTCCTTTATCCAATAAAATGAGGACTTTGGATGGAATGATTGCTGAAGTTCTTGCCAGTTATATTGTTTTATTTTTTCTTAGACCTTACAAAAATGTGGGGGCTGCTTTTGTGAGTAGACAGCTGAATGTCTTAAACTCTGGCCGGACCCASTCCCTTCTTTTCAGAAGAGTGGAAGGGCTTCTGAATCAGACAGATGAGACTTAGGATTCTGCTGTGGCCACTTACCAGCTTCATGACACCTCGGAACATGGGACTAAACATCAGGCTCTGAGAAATAAAAAAAAAAAAAAATCTGGCGGTCCATTTTCAAAAGATAGTATTTAGCTTTAAAATGTAAAAAGACTTGGGGTGTAAGAAAGGCAGGTGGAGGGGAAAGCAGGATGGAAAGTTAACRCTGAGTGTAAAGATTTACAGCCCTTTGACAGATGAGAAAAAAAGGGGCCCTACCTGACCAACAGAGAGAAACTGTRTCTATGCCAAAAGGTACTCGATCCAGGGAGACTTTGCTGTCACAAGAGAACAAAGGAAGGTGGGGATAAGTAAAGGTATATTTCTTTTAAGTAACCCAGTAGGAGATACTAAAACCTGTCACATTCAAGAAGATTGTGAGGAGTAAAGATTTGTTCCCAACATTACATACAAGAGGAAGTGAGGGGAAAGGGAAAAATAATACAAGGGGGAGGAATGAATTACAGTAGAGGGGGTAGAGAGAGAAGAGGGGAGGGGAGGGGGGATAGTAGAGGAKAGGAAAGGCAGCAGAATACAACAGACTTGAGTATGTCAATATGTAAATCAATGGAAGTGTAACTGATGTGATTCTGCAATCTGTATATGGGGTAAAAATGGGAGTTCATAACCCACTTGAATCAAAGTGTGAAATATGATATATCAAGAACTATGTAATGTTTTGAACATCCAACAATAAAAAAAAAAGAAGATTGTGCACCCCATAGTACTCAGCCAATGAGGAACTGGGGAGGAGTCTTGTGCTCTAGGAGATAAAACAGTGGTTGTACCCAGTCTGGGGGTCTCTGGCCACCAGGCACCTGATCTTGCTAGACTGTCATTAAATTAAAGCCTTACTTTTTTCTGTTCCTTATGTATCTTAGATCATTCTTTGGGCTTGGACAGGTGAACATGTTTTCTCATAAGACCTAGGCTGACCACCTGGCCCACCTGAATGATAGAGGAACTCTACTTGAAAAGACAGAAAAATTGGACTCTTAGTTCATTCAGAGAGAGAAAGAGGGGAGAGAGAGAGAGAGAGAGAGAGAGAGAGAGAGAGAGAGAGAGAGAGAAAGAGAGAGTCAATTAGCCCCTCATTGAACAATTAGTCCAGTTGTTCAAGATATACCCCCCACTTCTTATCCTTTAATATTTGTGTGATTTCATATTATATTCCTTCTATAAATCTCTCAGGAACACCACCCAGCATGCAGTTCTGTTCTTGAGGCCAATCTATCTTAAAAAGGACATTTAGAGACCTGGAATCTCGGAGCCTCTCTTCTCTCACCTGTAAAATGAGAATCATAATCAAAACTTCCTTGTCATGTATTATAAAGGTTGTAAATATCTATGCTAATGTATGAAAAACTCCAAGTAGAGTTCTGGAAACACAATAGTTGGCCATTCGGTTCCTGTAAATTTACGTACGCCTCACAGAGTAACTAACAATTCATTAAGAATTCAAATAACATCTGAATCCATTCTGTGTCTGTCCATTACTCTGTAAAAAGCCATCTGGAGTCTTTCAAGTTTGGAGCAAGTGGACATGAAGATGTGTGGTGAGAGAAAAGACTGATGGCCATTCTCTAGAATTAATGCCTGTTCGTTGATCATCAGATCACAGTGAGACACAGACCTTCCTTACCTTTTGTGTACCCCTAGTTGACTCTTTGCACCTGCATAATTAAAGTTGTACACAGTCAACATCATTGTTCCTTTGACAACTCTAGAGAAATATGCAGCTTATGTTTATGTATATGTGTTGACCAGACTACATATAATTAAGCAGGGATATGCACTGTGGTCTCTGGGTATTGGTAAAAGACTTGAGATTTGATTAAAAAAAATCAAACTCATATTCTCTTTCTTGAACTCATAGCATTGAACAAAAGACAACAGAAATGTCCAAGTGAATTTTTTTTGTTTGTCAATTAGCCAAAATGATCAATCTTTAGTCTCTAACTCAAATGTCTGCTTTCTAAAAGCTTCCTCTGAGTCTTCCAGTGAGGATGCTCTTCCCTTGATAAGCCAGGTAATGACTCCTTTACCTGTTTGCCTTTCTCCCTCAATATACCCTGAGCTTCCCTTTATGGGTAATAATTGTAGATAGTACTTATTGAGTGTTCTCCTACCCGCCAGCCTCCATGAGAGTTGCTTTGCATAATTTTTTCATTTATTTACCATAGTTCTAGAAGTGGTGCTGTTATTCATCTACAGACAAGAAAGCCATGCCTAATGGAAACAAAATGTTATGTACAGTGGGCACATTACAAAATCGAGGTTTTTTTTTTTTTTTTTTTGGCATTATAGGTCCGTGCCCTTTGCTTTCTAACTTAACTTGGTCTGAGTATAAGCTGATAGGCGTGGCTTAAAAACCCAGATCACGTGCAGAATCCACTGGCACTCAAGCAAACAAAATACCCTTGCAACCCAGAGGCTGTATGTACTGGTGCAGGGAATTCTGCAGGTATTCTTCAGTCTCCTGGACCGCAGAGAAGACAGAAATAACATGAGCACAGCAGGCAAAGTAAGCAAAAAAGATTTACTATTGGACATATGCTCTTATTAGCATAACATGTAAAAGGATCCAGTTTTTGATGAATAATCTAAAATTAATTAAACTAGAAATAATATGTATTAATGCAATATGCAATGTATGTTACGATAGATGATACTTACTGAACTATAATGAAAATAAACTATTCCTAAATAACTTCAACAATGTGTAGAATGTGTAGAATGAGTCTATTAATATCTTTATTTCCTACTTAAATAAATTTGCAATAATGTGATAGTTAATTCCAAGTCACTTGTAACTAATTGTCAAATCTACCTAACATTGGAAATGTCTATCATCAAAGGTTATCTTTATATTGAGACACCATAATTTAAATGATATCCTTTGTAATMTTATTCTTACAAACACGGGGAAGTCAAGTTTATCTAAAGTTTTATGAGAGGAATTTGATTCAGAAAACTGAAATTTCCTTTTAAGCCTGTCAAAATCTCTGACAAAAGGCATATTGCTCTCAAAGCATTAGAATCATCAATGTTCAGAAAGACAGCATCAACATGCAAATTCTGATTGAGGTACAGAGAAATACATGCAGTCATTCAATATATCTAATTCATACTGTTTAATGGCTCAATTGCAAAAGCCTGTACAACTGTTTCCAACGTGTTTGTTGTTTGAAGAGTGGCTTGTACCGTACAATATCTCACTATGGTAATTCTCTTTACAGATTCTGAGGGTTCTCTATACACTGTGTGGCACTGTAATCCCATATTGATCACAGTGGGACCACTTGACATTTGCCAGTGTTCTGATTTCATCTTGTGGTTTTTCATTTGTATTTACAATATTTCAAAAAGAAAAGTTTTGGGGAAAAAGAAAAATTTAAGTTTGCCAAAACTTGGCTGGAAAAAAATAGGAAATTCATAGAGAAAAACTGTAAACAAATCATATCAATGAAAATGATAATAAGTAATCTATCCTTTTGGGTGGAATGCCAATTCTTCACTCTTTGAAAACCTTTCATGTATGTTTACACTGCATTTTGTTTTCTTCAAATGCTAAATGGTGCTAGAAATAACATCAACTTCATAAGGTAGTTGAGAGTTTAATAAATTTATACTATTGACGTTTAGAATTGCACCTGGTACATTGAAATAAGTCAATGTATTTTAGTCACTGCTATTATTGTTGTTATCTAACTTTTTGTTTGTTTTCTTTTCACTCCACTTTGAAGATAAAGCTGGATTGATCTTAACAGCCAGCTTTGTAGTTTTGGAAAAATTACTCAATCACTAAATCAATTAGCTTCAATCTTTTCAAATACAAAACAAGGCAATAATCCAATAATACTTTCCTGGTAGCAACCTTGACAGATTTAAAGATGGCAAAACCTGCACAGACCACCATGTGCCTGCCACATCATGGACACCCAATAATCAGAACCCACCTACAGCTAGTATATTATTTTCAAGTACCCTCATATTTGTTTTGCCATTGACCATGGGAAAAAGGAAATTAGAGGAGGAGAAGAGGCCATTTGGGGGAAAAAAAGCATCGTATGTGGCAAGAGAAATATGAAATTGTTATAAAGTCAGATCCTGTGGACTTTAGCAGAAACTGAGCAAGTGAGAAAAATAATGATCAGAACTTCATGTACAAGTCAACAAGTCGCAAGCAAACAACCGATTTCAGGACATTAGGATATCTGTAAGGATGGCCTAAAAAACTGTGGCTTACAGTTAATTATGATTCTCTCTCCTGTGGTAATGCTTCACACATTTTTGAAAGTTTTTTTTWAAAAAAATATTTTTGTAAACCATACTTATTTGTTTCTATGGAGCACTTTGTGACACAGTAGGCGAAGGGGGGGATGGATGTTTGACAAAAGTGAGAACTAATTCCTTATTTTGAGAGTATCATCTTTCTGTTTGATTTTCCAGGTAATAAAATGCAAAGCAGCTGTGCTTTGGGAGCTAAAGAAACCCTTTTCCATTGAAGAGGTGGAAGTTGCACCCCCTAAGGCCCATGAAGTTCGMATTAAGGTGAAATTTTTTTAACTTATATTTAATTTTAGGTTAAAAATTTTTCAGAGCCGGGAGTGGTGGTGCACACCTGTAATCCCAGCAGCTCAGGAGGCTAAGAGGAGGATCACCTGTTCAAAACCAGCCTCAGCAACCAGGAGACACTAGGCAACTCAGTGAGGCCCTGTCTCTAATAAAATATAAAATAGGGCTGGGGGTGTGGCTCAGTGGCTGAGTACCCCTGAGTTTAATCCCTGATACCACCTCTGGAAAAAAAAAATTCAGAGACTATTCAAAATAGAAACAACCAAAAAAATCCATTAACAGGCACTTTTTATACTGTTGTCCATATAATGTGTTACAACTATTGCTAAGTCAAGCTATAAATATATTGTTCATTATTTGAAAAGTAACCAAAGAGCATGTACAGTATAATCCCAGTAAAACAAAAAAGAATTTATGCATCCACGCAGAAATGCAAAGGGTTATATACAAGGTATCAAAATCAATCAACCTTCAATATTTTCTTGGTGATAATCTGCAATTTTTCCTTCCAGAAAAGCATGCATTCTTGTATATCGTGTCCCACAAGATTTCAGGATCAATTGTTCTAAATTATTTAATTCTGGAAAGGAAGGTAGAAAAGGGTTTTGAACAATCCTGAGGACAAACAATCTTTTGCATTTGGAGAGTAGGGGGACAATTAGCAAGACTTGAAAACTTTTCAGAAGCAGAATTTCACACATGTGGATATGTTATGTCCTTCTGAGAGTCATCATCTTCTCTAGACCTAATCACTGGACCTTTGATTTGTAGATGGTGGCCACAGGAATCTGCCGCTCAGATGACCATGTGGTCAGTGGAAACTTGCTTTGGCCTCTTCCTGTGATTTTAGGCCATGAGGCAGCTGGCATCGTAGAGAGCGTTGGAGAAGGGGTGACTTCAGTAAAACCAGGTACAGAATGCACATTCCGGGAACGTGCTTTAGTTCAAGATCCCAAGATCATCCAAACCAGATGAGAAAAAAGAAGCAACAGATGAGGTGGGCTAGAGAGGTTCCCTGGACCTTCCCTTTCTCCCTGGTCTGACTCAGGCAGGGTACATTCCGAAGATCTTGTATTTTCTCCTTCAACAACTCTTTATTGAGTAGCTACTAAATGCCAGGCACCAGGTTAGTGGCTGGGGTATCTGAGCATCCAAAGAGACACAGAGCCTGCCAGAGTGGAGTCATGACTTCATACCTTCCATTTCAGAACTACAAATGGGGCAAGGGGGAAAAAACTAAGTCTAGATCCCGAGACTCTAGATCAGCTTATGGAAACTGTTACTTCTGTGCTAAGTTCACAAACTGGGGGCTGTGAGCCTAGGACGGAGTCAACACGATCTTCCTTTTCCAGTAGGGCCTTCCTTCTCAAACACAGAACAAATAAAACACACTAGATGGAAGGAAACCAAAGAAGGGGTGGAAGGCATCGGTCATAAACCATATCATTTTTATTATCTTTACTCCAAGTTAAACGTGACTGGTTACAAATGGCTGATTATTTTATTTTTAATATTTGTTTTATCTTCATTTTATTTTATATCAACATGTTTTGGGAAGTAAATGATAAATAAACAGAAGATTTTCATGCCATCATCCCCACATAAAGTTTATTTCTAAAATGTAATGGGCCAACCGTTTTTCTTGGTCTGGTTGGATAGGTAGTATAGATGATTAAAAACAATTATGTTTAATTCTAAAAAGATCACTTTAGCCAGTAGACTCGGCCTTCCTCTTATCAAATATTTAATTAAAAGCAAATAATACATAAACAGTTTGATTTTTGACTTAGTTTTCTAAGCCAAAAAATGGAAATAAATTAATAATAAAAGGACACTCTTAGWTTTAACTCTTGCTTTCTCTATAGCAAGAAAAATAGATCATTAATAAATTATCAGCTAAAACAGTTGATAGTTCAGTTCGTGTTCTCAATGAGAGAATATTGAGAGTTGAGATTTTCACAGGAATTTTTTAGCTCTTTGTCCCATTTTTGTTAGTCTTTCTCAAAAAGGAATGAAGATTTTTTTTTAAAAGCATTCCTTTCATAAAAAAGATAAGCACAGTCACTTTGAAAAGTCAAAAAGTGGTTGCTGAAATTCTCATTTTGATTGTAACTTATGGCCAAGTTTTGTTTTATTTTTATTCTTAAAATGTTTTATTGCATTTATTATTTTATTTCATTCATTTTTGTTCTATTATAACTATTGCACAAAATATAAGATCTTCCCAGCATCTAGTAGAACTATGGCAACTTGTTTGCAACTGAAATTTATATCTATACTTACAGCAGGAATATTTCAGGTTTAATTAAGTAAGAATTAAATGAGATGATGTGTGTTAAGTCCCCAGGAAAATTCAGGGTGTGCCATAAACATTAGCTATGAATGTAGTGAAAATAGTTTTTAAAATCCATGTTATTTTCTACATTCATTTTTCTTCTTTGGGAATCTTCATATACCTCTTATACCCAAATGAGGAAAGGCATGGTTGATTGAACGCTATTTCTTGTAGCCTTTTAAAAGATACACATGGTTTCATGTAAGGTTAAGTTCTTGCTTTATTAATTCCTGGACAGAAGTTTAAGAAAAATTTGGGTTTTTCCCCCCTCCAGGTGATAAAGTCATCCCCCTCTTTAATCCCCAGTGCGGAAAATGCAAAGTTTGTAAACACCCAGAAGGCAATGTCTGTTTGAAAAGCAGGTAGGTCTCTTATACTCTTCTTGCAGAGCTAACAAAGTTGTTGCACATTTGTTTGCTCCTGTTTCATGTCCCTTGTGTGTCTGTGTGTTCCATTGATCAGTTTACAACAACCCCAGGGGACCTTGTTAGATGGCACCAGCAGGTTCACCTGCAGGGGGAAGCCAATCAACCACTTCATCCACACCAGCACCTTCTGCCAGTACACGGTGGTAGATGAGATGGCGGTGGTCAAAATTGATGCAGCGTCCCCACTGGAGAAAGTTTGCCTCATCGGCTGTGGATTTACAACTGGTTATGGCTCAGCAGTCAAAGTTGCCAAGGTAGTATTGACAATGGCCAATGAAACCATTAACATTAAGACAGTAAGGACCAAAAAAGGAGCAATTTCTCATAGGAATCAGAGATTATTTTCATGGATTCGTAGTGTTGATTTTGTATGTATTATTAATTTTTTAAATTATTTATTTGTTCTAATTAGTTATACGTGACAGTAGAATGCATTTTGACATGTCATACATAAATGGAGCACAACTTCTCATACTTCTGGGTGTATATGTTGTAGAATCACATCAGTCATGTAATCATATAGGTACGTAGGGTAATAATGTCCGATTCATTCTACTGACCTTCCTACCCCCAAACCCYTCCCCTCCCTTCACTCCCCTCTGCCTAATCCAAAGTACCTCTATTTTTCCTTAGCATGACCCCTTATTTTGAATTAGTATCCTCATATCAGAGAAAACATTTGCCCTTTGGTTTTTAGGGTTTGGCTTATTTCACTTTGCATGATAGTCTCTAGTTCCATCCATTTACCAGCAAGTGCCATCATTTCATTCTTCTTTAAGGCTGAGTAATATTCCATTATGTATATATACCACCTTTTCTTTATCCATTCATCTGTTGAAGGGCATATAAGTTGGTTCCATAATTTGGCTATAGTGAATTGAGCTGCTTTATAAACATTGATGTAGTTGTGTCTGTATAGTATGCTGCATTTTAAGTCCTTTGTGTATAATTTCAAGAGTGGGATAGCTGGGTCAAATGGTGGTTCTATTCCAAGTTTTCTAAGGAATCTCCATACTGCTTTCCATAATGGCCACACCAATTTGCAGTCCCACCAGCAATGTATGAGTGTACCTTTCCAACATTCATTGTTGCTTGTATTCTTGATTATTGCCATTCTGACTGGAGTGAGATGGAATCTCAGTGTAGTTTAGCATTTCTCTAATTGCTAGAGATGTTGAACATTTTTTTTTAYATATTTGTTGATCAATTGTATTTTTTTCTGTGAAGTGTTTGTTCAGTTCCTTAGCCCACTTATTGATTGGGTTATATGTTTGTTTGGTTTTTTTTTTTTTTTTTTTGGTGTTAAGTTTTTTTAGTTCTTTATATATCCCGGAGATTAATGCTTTTTCTGAAGTGCATGAGATTTTCTCCCATTCTATAAGCTCTCTCTTCAGATTATTGATTGTTTCCTTTGCTGAGAAGCTTTTTAGTTTGAAACCATCCCATTTATTGTTTCTTGATTTTACTTGTTGTGCTTTAGGAGTCTTATTAAGGAAGTTAGTTCTTAAGGCAACCTGGTGAAGATTTGGGCCTATTTTTTCTTCTATTATAGGGTCTCTGTTCTAGTGCCTTTGATCTACTTTGAATTGAGTGTTGTGCAAGGTGAGAGATAGGGGTTGAATTTCATTTTGTTACATATGGATTTCCAGTTTTCTCCATACTATTTGTTGAAGAAGCTATCTTTTTTCCAATGAATTTTTTTGGCACCTTTGTCTAGTATGAGATAACGGATTTATGTGGGTTTGTCTCTGTGTCCTCTGTTCTGCACCATTGGTCTGTGTATCTGTTTTGATGCCAATACCATGCTGTTTTTGTTAGTGTGGCTCTGTAATACAGTTTAAGGTCTGCTATTGCGATGCCTCCTGCTTCACTTTTCTTGCTAAGGATTGCTTTGGCTATTCTGGGCCTCTTATTTTTTCAAATGAATTTAATGATTGCTTTTTCTATTTCTATGAAGAATATTATTAGGATTTTAATAGAAATTGTAGGCTGGGGATATAGCTCAATTGGTAGAGTGCTTGCCTTGGATGCATAAGRCCATGGGTTAAATCCCCAGCACCACACACACAAAAAAAAGAAATTTAATAGAAATTGCATTAAATCTGTATAATGCTTTTGGTAGTATGGTCATTTTGACAATGTTAATTCTGCCTACTCAAGAGCATGGCAGGTTTTCATCTTCTAAGGTCCTCTTCAATTTCTTTCTTTAGTGTTCTGTAGTTTTTTATTGTAGAGGTCTTTACCTGTTTTGTTAGATTGTTTCCCCAATTTTTTTTTGAGGCTATTGTGAATGGTGTAGTTTTCCTAATTTCTCTTTCAATGRATTCAACACTGATATATAGGAAAGTGTTTAATTTGTGGGTGTTTGTAGTGTTGATTATTAATAGAAAAATAGTCCCCAGAAAAATTTGAGACCATGTCTAAGAAAATTTACCTTTTTATCACAGATGAAAATGCTGTTGATACTAAGTTAAGAAAAAGCAAATATTTCATTTTTAATAATTATTATCATATTTATTTCTTTGTGGGACTACTAACTTTTATGACTGGGGTGTCATTTATTCATTCTACAATTAGTAACTATACACACATCAGGCCAATAGGTTCTACTGGGTTCTAAAGCAGTCAAAGCAAATAAAATGAAGTGTTTGCCTTGGAGGAGCCAAAAACCATGGATACCTTACTCCCAGGATTAGGATCAATAATATATTCCAAAGCCTCATCCGATGACTTTCAAACTGGGGACCACCCACTCTGCAGATCCAAAGAGAAATGCAATGAATCTTTAGCAATGTGTTATTTCCACCCATTATGGGATTTCACTGCTGCACTTCTCCCCTGCCATGAACAAACACACACACACACACACGCACGCACGCGCACACACACACACACACACGCACGCACACACACACACACAGGATACTCACAAAAATGGATTTCATTCATTATTCAAATACAGTCCAACTTTATGGTGCATTATTGTTCTGTGCACTTTTTTGTTGTTTTAATTTTCTTCTTCTTTCTTTTTTTTTCCTCTTTGTTGTTGTTGTCTACGAAACTTTGGTTTTTTATTTGTTTGTTTTTTATATGCAATGCTGAGAATTGAGTCCCCTGCCTCACACATGTTAAATAAGCCATCTTTCCACTGAGCCACAACCCCAGCCCCTCTGTGCTTACTTGTTAATTCAGGAATGAAGACACACAAATATCACATTAGTYACAACCTATTTTATCTTAAAGTTGTCAGTTGAATTTCATCTGTTTTTTGTGCTTTGCTTTAAGCCCAGAATAACTCTTAAGTGCTTCACATCTAATTTCTGCTCTCTTCACACTGGTTGTGATTATGGGTTGTGTGTTAATGGACCAGGAAGGGGTTGCTTATTGGTAGCTTGATTGGATTACTTCTTGGTCTCCTGGAGTGACCTTGTCTACTTTTTTCATCCCTTACTCCCTAACCCCACTAAATTGCTTGTGTGTGTGTATAATGTACTGAAGCTGGCTATCAATGATTTGAGCCATTGAGAGTTTCTTCAATATTGGAGTCATTGGGGGATGTAGCTTAAAGATCATCCAGTTCAATGGTTCTYAGCCTTGGCTCCCCATTGAAGTGACTGGGGACGGCATTTCACCTATAGAGATTCTGATTGAATTTGTATGGACTGTGACATTGTGATATTTTTAAGCTCTCTAGGTGTATCCACTGTGTAGCAAAGCCACCGACTCCTCACCCTGTTTAAACATGAAGCAAGAGTAACCAAAAGAGATTTTGACAGCAGCTTGGATACAGTCTGAATAGCTCCTGGGAGCATCCAAGGCTGCAATTTATACAGCTTGGGCACTGCAGTGATTGTGTAATCCATTTTTTGCATTTTCAAAAATAGGTCACCCAAGGTTCCACCTGTGCTGTGTTTGGTCTGGGAGGAGTTGGCCTGTCTGTTATCATGGGCTGTAAAGCAGCTGGAGCATCAAGGATCATTGGAGTGGACATCAACAAAGGCAAATTTGCAAAAGCCAAAGAAGTGGGTGCCACTGAGTGCATCAATCCTCAAGACTACAACAAGCCCATTGAGGAGGTGTTGAAGGAACTGAGTGATGGAGGTGTGGACTTTTCCTTTGAAGTCATTGGTCGGCTGGACACCATGGTACGTACCCTCACACGCCTTGAGCTTTTCACTTTTGCAATCTAGAGTATGCAGCAGAATATAAATATTATGTAACAATATGTTTTTGGAATAGTGATTTCCATCTTCTTTTTATTACTTGGATTACTTAATTTATTGCTATGAGAAATCCTTCATTTTGTCAGCTAATCAAACCTGTCTCAAGTAAGATTTCTATTTTAATGAGGGAAAGGGTTCATTTTTTAATTGAGCCATTACAAATTAACTTTATTGGTTTTCTTGTCCTTTTTTATCTTTACAGAATATTTTCTGGTACTTAGCAGGAAAAGTATATGTGTCTGAAAGTGATTCAGTGTTTCCAATATCTATTAAATTAAATTCCTGCCATAAGGAATTTAATCTTACTATTCTTTGATTTGTGCTCAGATTTCTAGCTTGTTCAAATATCAATACTCTACTCTAGTGATTGTCCTTCTGAGCCTAAGATTCAAATCCAAATGGCTCTTCAGAGTCTCCATTAGGAATATCAGTAGATCTTCTCTGGACATCCACTATAGATGGAAGGTTCTGTTACATGGATCCAGAAGAAGAGATGAGCCCAGCCCCCATTTCTCAGTCAGAATAGAAGAAGTGAGGCATCCAGTGACAGTGTTCCTGCTAGTTCATAGAGCATCATTCAATTCAGGAGGCCATTCAATGGCCCACCAGCTAAAGGTCCTTGAGCAAGTGGCTCAAGCTCTGTGTCTCAGCATCCTCACTTGTCAAACATGTCCGTTTGCATGTTTTAATGTGAGTCAATACATTTCAACAACTTAGAAGAGGGTCAGGCCTTGGTAATTTATATTGCTATMACTATGGTAGGACTAATAGCAATGAGACTATTATTATCATTCTGAACATCCCACTCCAAAAGGTACTTATTGGGTTGGTCCTGGGTCCAAGCCCTGTAGTTAAAGGAAGAAAGGAATCCTTATTCAGGGATGGGGGGACAGGCTGGAAGCTCTAAATCTATGGATGAAGAATGGGGCAAATGTCAGGCACTCTTTCCCCTGCCACAGCCTCTGGCACCCTCTATGTGTCTCTGTCTTATTCAGCACAGGATCAAAAATAATTCTCCCTTGATTTGACTTATGCTTTCCTACTCTGTACTATCTGGAAAAACCACTAATATACTTATTTACTGCAAAAATCAGTATATTCCTAGTAGGTCAGCTCTCCAGTTACTGTCACCTGAGTTATATTTCAAAAACTAAACAAGCTGTTGGTAGCTTTATTGGTTTTCAGTAAAAAAAAAAAAAAAACTTCAACAAGTAAATATATACATAATACAATTTTTTTAACTTGGCAAATTTGATTTTCCTCCACATTCTTAACAAATATGGTTTAATAAACTTTTTTGTTTTAATTAATTCTGAATTTTTTTCAAATATCATTAGCTAGTTAAAAGGAGAAAAGAGCAATTTGGGGCCAATTATTATTTTACCAACAGAAAATATGTCCTAAGGAAACTGACTGCCTTCACACATCATTTTATTTTACCACAGAGACAGCACAGTGCCTGGTACATAGAGAGCATCAGGATGTATATATTGAAGTAAATACTTTTAAAAAATCAGCAGATTTTTGCCACTCCCCAAATTTGAGAGATATGTCTCATAGCTTTGTATGGGTTACATGAACTAATGCAAGTAAAATATTTATCACAGTGTCACTCTCAATACATGTCAGCTGGTGATACGCATATGAAACACTATTTCCAAGCTTGCAGTTCTTACACCATCTTTGGAATATGTATGACATTACTTTCAAATAATTCCAAATATCAATTCCTGTGTGTAATACGTTTCTAGCTGTATTTTACCTAACCAGAGTTCTCTAGAATTCTGCTGAAAAAGTCACCAGAGACCAATAAGACCCAACTGTTGAGGTTCACCAGGAAAACCTAGTGGTATTGGTAATTGGGATCTGTGCCCTGAGAGTAAAATTCTTTGCAGACTTGACCTGGGATAATATGCCATAGATGATGGAGGTTCAAAGAGAGACCAACTTTTTCCGAGGCTGTAGCTTTTCTCACTGTGCCCTTTTTCTATTTTCCCTCATGGAACTGGGTTGTTGCTTTATTTGAAGATGCCAAATGCTTTTTAGCCACATGCTCTGAGGAGATCTGGTCTTCCAAACGTCATTCTTCAAAATCAAAATGTGTATCTTTGGAAATTCTAACACACTCTTTTACTACAGGCTATGTTAAAAAATGACTAGAGGGGGACAGTTTCCTGGACTGTCTTTTGAATATCCAGAATAATAGATTCTGTTTAAAGTAAAACTCGTATACATTGGAGAGATGCAAACATCATGTAAAGCATGTCCATTTTAGAAATGGACAACAGAATTGGAATTTACTAAAAAGAGAGATTACCAAGTGGACAAGAGACAAATTTTGATGGCGTAATCATTATATCTTATTCACCAATCAGAAACCTGTTCAAAATTCATACTTAATAGATAAATAAAAAGTCAAATAATGAATTCATAGATTGCCTGAGAATCATATGATGATCAAACAGTGAAAAACTTTGTGAAAACCCAGACTTTACATATGTGTGTAATGATATTTGCCTATTTATTAGTTTATAAAGAAAAATGAAGTACATATAAAATGATTCATTCGTAAAAAAAAAAAAAATGATTCATTCGTTCTTTCACTGAAAAAAAAAAACTTTCTGGGTATTTCTCCAAGCAGCAACACTATCCTAGATACAATGGGAAATGAAGCAGAAGACAATTTCCTTCTTCCAATATCCTGTGAATTATGAGTAGGTACTATCTATCTGAGAATCTACTTTAAGGATGCAAAATATTGATTTTTTTTTCATTTCAGCTTTCTGCCCTGTTATGTTGTCAAAATTCATATGGTGTAAGCGTCATCGTAGGGGTGCCTCCTGATTCCCAAAACCTCTCCATGAATCCTATGCTGCTATTGACTGGACGCATCTGGAAAGGAGGAGTTTTTGGTGGTAAGTTGTTAAGCCTGAGGACTAAATTTTCATTAACCTCAGAATTTCCTCCTTTTTACAAGTGACAAGGTCAGGTTTTGAAAAACAATGTGGTTACTACATTGAACATTTATTTTTTTAAATGAACTAAAATTTCTATTGTATCTATAGGCTCCAAATTAATTATATGTGGAACTAATGAAGAGAGAAAGTCCCAAGACAGAATACTCTGGTATCCCCATAAACCTTTCAGCATCAGCTCTTTTCATACTCGTTACATAAGGCACAAAAATTCTTTGTAGGACACAGGAAATCTGTAGCAATAATTTATGCCTATATTCACTGCATATTTAGACAATTACAAACTTTGCTTTTTTGTCTTTGGTCATACTTATCTGTATTGTAATTTCTCAGTGTAGAGCTAATAGGCACCCGAAAGCTAGCTAAGGACCCTACTTTATCTGGGAGGATTAAAAAAAAAAAGTCAAAGCACTACAAAAGGGTATTGAAGGGCTCATTGTCTGACTTCACTAATAGCAGTCCACAGAATGTAGCACTTTTTACAGACTTTTATTTTAATTTCATTGGAAAGTCTCCTCTCCAATTCTCCTKCTTACTCCGACTAACTCTAACAATGATATTGTCTTCTTTTCAGGTTTTAAGAGTAAAGATTCTGTTCCCAAACTTGTGGCTGATTTTATGGCTAAGAGGTTTTCACTGGATCCATTAATAACGAATGTTTTACCTTTTGAAAAAATAAATGAAGGATTTGAACTGCTTCGCTCTGGAAAGAGGTAGATTTTAAGTTTCTTTTTATGGTAGGGGACTTTCTAACAGAGAATGAAAAAGTGAAAGGATGAGGAGAAAGTTGATGTCWCTTGGTTTCCCGTCACCAGTTCAGTCTTTGCAGACAGCACATCTCGGATGACACTGTGAGAATCTAAGAAGAGTTGCTTTGGGTTTCCGGTCCAGCTAAAGCCAAATGACGTTGATGTCAAAACATCTGAGTGATCAGAGACAGAGATCAGAATGTTCACTTTTGCCAGAGAAAGCATCAGAGTCACACAATCGTAGCTACAATATGGAGTCACGGAAGCCTCAGCTTGGCTACTGAAGGCTGATCATTAATGGCTCTACATAATGTTCTGGACATCCCCAAAAACTTTCATTATAGGAGTAAGAGGAACTACATTGGGATGATTTTATATACAGATACTAGTAGCTTTTCATGAAAAATACTACTATTATTGTTATTTCTTTCTGCAGTTTACAAAGACTTTTTCACAAATAAAAATTATAATAAGGGGATGGGTACAAAATGCTATGTTAAATGTTTAAGTCTTATAATTTCTCCAAAGCGTAGGAGAAAGATGACTGAGACAGGAGGATCACGAGTTCAAAGCCAGCTTCAGTAGTGAGGCACAAAGCAACTCAATGAAATCCCTTTCTCTTAATTAAAAAAAAATATACAAAATAGGGCTGAAGATGTAGCTCAGTCATTGAGTGCCCCTGGGTTCAATCCCCAGTTCAATCCTCAGTTCAATCCCTACCCACCAAAAAGTCAATCCATTTTCTACCCCTAATTGAATGAGTTTTGTCACCTGCATTTATGTGACAGCTAGGTAGAGTTACATCTGCCTCCCACCTTCTTGTTCCATTATGTATTTTCTGCTACCCTCCCCAACTTCTTCTCATGAGATTTTCAACTTTAAATAGTATTTCTGATAAAATACTATAGTAGATATTCATCTTACCATATTCTTGAGGCGAGAAGGAACATAGCTTCTACAGAGCTCCAGCTGCCTTCCTAATGGTCTTATCTGCATTACCTCATGTGATTCCTAAGCAATGCTGGCATGCTGGTCCCCCTGTCACTATCTTAGGAGAAAAGCTGAACCTCAGAGAGAATATGGCTTAGCCCAAGTCATACAGGTAATAGGGGAGCTAGAAATCACAATTAGATCTGTTGGATAGCAAAGTTGATTTACTTTCTGTGAAACCACACTGCCTCTCAAGAGCTCAAGAGCTATGGAACAAGCAGTTATCAAATGTTAGCAGCAGCAGCAGCAGCTGGTTAAATAGAATGATGGCAAACGTAGAGATACCAAAACCAGATGGCAGTGTTGGACAACAGGTGAACCATTAAGCAGGCCTGAATGCTCTTTATGAGACGTCCTTACACTGAATGTGAATATTTAAGTAACACAAACCCTGTTTATAAGCAAAGAATAAAAATTATACTTTTCAGTATTAGTAAGGATAAGATGATATGGTCATTTTCATATACTGCTTGTAGGAATATTAATTGTTATATTCTTTGGGGGAAAGCAATTAGATAATTTGTAATTTGAAACTTTTTTAAAAACAGATCCTTTGTGCCAGGAATTCTATTTCTAAAAGCCTATTATACAGAAATAAATGTGTAAACACACATATATGTTTACATGTTTACTTGCTACCAATAGGTATCAAAAGTTAGAAACATTGTAGAAGTCTAATATTAAGAGAATCRTTAGAATTCTCATAAAATAGAAAATACAAACTTGCATACACAATATGATCCCAAATTTTCAAAAACAACAGAAAAAGTATACATATGCCTAAAAATGATTAAATAAAATATTAACAAGGGTTATCTCTAAGTTGTGGAATTACAGGTTATTTTTACTTTCATCTTTACACAATACAGTATTTTCTAATTTAACTATATATAATTGCTTACACACACACACACATACACACACACACACACATATATGGGTATCTATTGAAAATTTTCAAAAAGACATGAAGATCAATTTTTCTAAAAGTGTTTTTCCATCATAAGGTGGTTTTTTAAATTTTTATTTATTTTTATTTTTTGTTTTTACATATACATGACAGTAGAGTGTACTTTGACATACCATACATACATGAGATACAACCCATTACAATTTTGATCCCATTCTTGTAGTTGAACATGATATGAAGTATATTCATACTGGTAGTATATTTATATATGAGCATAGGAAAGTTATGTCTGATTCATTCTACTGTCTTTCCTATTCCCACCCCCCTCCCTTCCTTTCATTCCCCTTTGTCTAATCCARTGAACTTCTATACTTCCCTCCCTATCTTCCCTTGTTATGGGTCAGCATTCACATATCAGAGAGAATATTCAATCTTTGGTTTTTGTTTTTTGGGGACTGGCTTATTTCACCTAGCATATTCTCCAGTTCCATCCATTTACAGGCAAATGCCATAATTTCATTTTTCTTCATGGCTGAGTAATAATTCATTATGTATATATACCACTTTTTAATCCATTCATCTGTTGAAGGGCCATACCTTTGTTATTGTGAATTGATTGATGTGGCTGCATCACTGTAGTATGCTGATTTTAAGTCCTTTGGGTTTAAGCTGAGGAGTGGGATAACTGGATCAAATGGTGTTTCCATTCCAAGTTTTTTAAGGAATCTCCATACAGCTTTCCAGATTGGTTTCACCAATTTATAGTCCCACCAGCAACGTATGAGTGAAGCTTTTCCCCACATCCTCACCAACATTAATTGCCATTCTGAGTGGAGTGAGGTGGAATGTCAGTGTAGTTTTAACTTGCATTTATATAATTGCTAGAGATGTTGAACACTTTTTTATATGTTTTTGACCATTTGTATTTCTTAGAAGGTGATTTTTCACATTGGCATTAGTTCCCATATAAATGTTACATTTCCAATATTCCCAAGAATGAAGTTCTCTTAGAAATAATCTGTACCAACTTTATCATCTACTTCTAAGAATCTTTAACCATCTCTGCACCAAAGCTCTATTAAACCTTTGACATGGCCTTAACTTTAGTAAACTATCAGTTCCTTTAGGCAAGTTATCTATCATCTTATAATTTGTATTTGAGTTTGAATCCCAACCCCATGCTAGATGTGTGACTAGAGCAAGTTTATAAATCTAAGTCTTAGTTTCTATCATCTCTAAAATGGAAATAATATGAAAAACTACCTAGTAGCATTATTGTTTAGGTTGAAAATTAAATGAGATAATGTTTGAAAAGCATCCACAAAGAACATGATAAACAACAGGAATGCATTACAAGTTATTACTTATTTTCATATTTTATGGCAGGCATGCAGACTCAAAAAATATATTGTTTTGTTTAAAGGATTCTAATGTAGAACTAAACTCTAAGTGGCAGCTTTGTTGAGGGTGTTGTGAGTGAGTTTAAGATTGGAGAAAACACAAGAGAGAACCAGAAAGGACAAATTGCCGTATACTACTTTAATACATAAGGAACTTAACACACAAGGATGGCAGAGGAATGTCTGGGAACACAGATTTTCACTGAGACACATCAAATGTATAATTCACTCGCATGGAAGAGTGTGAATTGCCTAACTGATAAAAATGTCTTTTCCTTCCTGTTTCAGTATCCGGACCGTCCTGACATTTTAAGACCATCCAGATGCCTTGCCTTGGAGCAGTATTCCGACTCCTCCCCATATAATCAAGAATACCAGCCAGAAAAACATCATCAATTCTGTTCCTTAGAGATGGAATCAATAGAATTACACATACAAGCTTTCTCTGGAAAATCAGAAATTCCTGTGAAATCATTTTTTCAAGCAAATGTTTAGAATCCAAGTGAGAGTTATTGAACATTAGCAAGTGATTGAGGCTAGTAAGCTTTTCATCTTAAGCATATGACTTATGCCATTTTCCTACTGAGGAAGGCTATTTCTTGTGACTTCTTATATATTTTTTCTCTCTTTTTAACCATCAGTCATTTACACTAAGTGGAGGGGATCTTCCACCTGTCCCCAGCATAAACACATCAGGCAATTGTGCTTGAAGTCATCTGTGTCTGTCTCTATTTCCACTGTCTGTACTTTCCTTTCTGTAAAATGTATCAAAGTCAAGGTCAACACCATGGCGTGGTAAAGGATAGACTCAGGTTTAAAAATGTAGAATGTTCAGCACTTTTGAATCCAGGGAATTTCTTAGTAACTCAAAGGAAATGTCACACATTCTCATACCRTGATGGGAAATGTTTTGTTTACTGCCATTATACTCTTTCTTTGCAGTGAATATGTAGTTGCTCTCTTAAATAAAATCAGGTATTATGTTTATGTGATAAATGTGAGGTTTGAATAGTAAATGCGGAAAATAAACTCTTCCTGGACCATATTTTAAAAGTCTGTGATTTATATTCATGAAGGCCCTTTATGGGCTAGACAGTTAATGATTACAACTGACTAAGGTGTCACTCTTTTTTGTTAAAAATTATGTGATGACTCTTAAAGTCCAGGGGGCATGGGAATGCAGGCAACTGTGAACACAGCATTTAAGATGGTAACTTAGCAATGGCATAAACACCCCCAAGAAGTATATCTTCTAAGTAGATATAGATATATGTACATACCTTTTTGCAAAAATTGTTTTCTATCTAGAACTTTTCTATAAACAACTATGACTTAAACCAATTCTATAATCCTGGGATTAACTGAATATTTTGGATATGTTCAGACCCAYTTGTTGATGCTTTCCCACTAGCAGAAGAAGATCTACATTATGAGCTTTATCTCCGGTATTGCATTCTATTCTTATTTTTATTTAAAGGATTGGTAGCTATCTTCAAAAGTGTTACTGCTATATCTATGATCTCTTTGATTTTGTAAAAAGGACACTAGACTTAGAGTAAAACAACTTACTACTTACTCTGTGACCTTCAGAAAGTCACTCAAACTCTCTGAACCTGTTGATTATTTGATTTAGTGAAATTACTCTATCAAATCATTACAGCTTTACAGAGGAAGGGGGTGGGAGGGAAAAGGAGGCACAGGGGACTGAAATGGAGCGAGTCAAATTTTATGTATGTATGGTTATGTCAAAATGATACCAACCATTATGTATAACTATAATGCAGTAATAAAAACATTAAAAAGTTTTCTTTTAAAGATTAAATGGTATGATGCTAGTGAAAAAAAAAACTTTAAAGTGTTGAAATGCCATGGAAATGTAGAGAATGTGTATTTGCTTTGTGAGAGGATATATTCAACGTCAAGGGAGCTTTCAGAATGTACCAAAAATAATACATTCTTAAAGAGACCACYCTTTGCTGGGGATTGTGTGATATTTTACATTGGTACTGAGGATGTGAGGTCCAGAGAAAGAAGGGTTGGTTCTAACTTCCACTTCACACTTGTGGGCATGAGATCTGGCTGGTGGCACAGAGGCGTCATCTAGCTTCTACCCACCATCCTCCCAGGTTGGGGGAGTCGGGGGAGCAGGTCACAGATGGGCACTGTCGGTGTTCTTACACAGGAACACAGTCTTCCATGTGGTGGGGGCAGAGTAGGTCACATGTGCAGAATCTAAGTTACATGGACATTGGTGGGGAAGGAGGGGGATGACATCAAAACATCCACAGAGTGGCTTGCATCCTGACAGCCTGAAGAGCGCACATAGTTGGGGTTTGGGATGGTTTCCAGCAAAGCTTGACTCTTGAATCAAGAACTTCCATATTTGCTTGAGTCCAAGAAACGAAAAAAAAAAAGTAACTCTTAATGTACATAGTTTGCACTCACTTTTAGGTATCAGTGAAGAGCTTAACTAGAAGGAAGAAAATTTTCAAAGTTCAAAGAGAAAGAATTTTAGGAAGATGGTTTACCTACTAACTCTGAAATACCAACTTAGCTCCTTAATACACTGACAAAGATGAATAGCAGATGAACTCTGCATTGACTTCTGAAGACTTTACAAGTCACTGAAACTGCTGTTGGGACTGAGAGTCACCTGGAAGTCAAAGGCAACTGAGAACAGGTCTATACGTGATAATTACAGACTTCTAAGCCTGATTATAAAATTCTGTTAACAAAGGCTCTATGCACCTCTAACAACCTATTAGAACCTCTGTTTGGTGTTCCCGGAAAAATCTTAAAATAGCAATTTTATCAAAGTACACAAAGTTCTGTTTGCTATCAAATACCTAACAATACTCAGGAAGTAGGCTAAAACAAACAAAGAGAAACAAAAATTGGTGGGGAAAGAATACAGCAGGAGCTGTACAGTGGGGCCAAATCATGCTCCTAGGAGAAGAAATGGACCTGGGCATGGGTGTGGCTGGCTCATTTCATTCCCTGGGACTCAGCACCCAGAAGACATTCACAGCTGCACAATTCTCAAGGGAACCCAGAGCTTGCACAATACCCCAAAGAGCTAACTCAAAGTTAATTAAAGACAGAAGGAAAGACTGGTTTGTGTGTTCCAGCTTGTTCCTTGAAGTATTGACAAGTCAACCAATTACACAGAAACTTTATTACCCATGAAAGTAGGTCAGAGAGGTCACCAAATAACTCTTATCTAAATATATTATTTAAAGACTACTAGTCTTGCAGAAACCAGTAATTAACAGATATTGAAATGACATAAGGAGATAGAATCACAGTTTTGAAATGCCTTCTGTATCTGAATTCAAGCCTCAGTAAATGAGAACAAACAAACTCTGGAGGGAAATAAATCTTTTCATTAACAAAAGGACTTTTACCAGGTGCAATGGCACATGMAAGCCTGTAATCCCAGCTACTCAGGGGCTAAAGCAAGAGGATCACAAGTTAAAAGCCAGCCTCAGCAATTTAGCGAGGCTCTAAACAACTTAGCTGAGACTCTGTCTCTAAGTATAAAAGACCCTGCCTCTAAGTTTAAAAGACCTTTTCTCTAACTATAAAAAATGCCCTTCAGATGAATGGATAAAGAAAATGTGGTATATGTACACAATGGAATATTATTCAGCATTAAAAGAGAATAAAATCATGGCATTTGCAGGTAAATGGGTGGAGCTGGAGAAGACAATGCTAAGTGAAATTAGCTAATCCCCTAAAACCTAATTTGAATGATTTCTCTGATTTAAGGATGCTGATTCATAATATGCTGTGGGAGGTGAGGGATGGGAGGATTAAATGAACTCTAGATAGGGCAAAGGGGAAAAGGGGATGGAGGAGAATAAGGGTGCATAGGGGTAGGAAAGATGGTGGAATGTGATGGTCATCATTACCCTARGTACATGTATGAAGACACGAAAGATGTGACTCTTCTTTGTGTAAAACCAGAGATATAAAAAAATGTGCTCTATATGTGTAATATGAATTGCAATGCATTCTGTTGTCATATATAACAAATTAAAATTTGTTAGTTAAAAAAAGGCTGGAGATGTGGCTCAGTGGTTGAGTGCCCCTGTGTTCAACCCCCATTAACAAAAAAAAAAAAAAAAAGGAAATTCTAAGACCTTTGGTATGGTGGTATGAGTTTTGTCTTTCCAAAAATCTTCAGACAACAATGACTAGCTAAGAATTCGGAGGAGTCCATGACCAATTTGTTTTACATTTGCTATCTTCTCCCTTGGGGACTCTCAAAGACAGAGGTCACTCAAGAATACACTAGTGGACTTGAGAGCACAGGAGAGATTGAAAGCTCCCTGAAAGCTCTGTTTTCCATTTCTGCAATAGTTCTGAGGAAAAGGAAGAGAGTGAAGAAGGAAGGGAAAAACAATCACCCCTGTCCTGCACGCTAGCAGCTAATGGAGAAAGTGGAAATGTTCTATTCTGTGATTATGGTTCACTTAAAAGTTCCATTCTGCAATTATAGTGATTGTTACATAATGCAAATATTTACTCCTTAATTTAAAGGAGAAGGAGGAATTTGACAGAAGGAAAATTGGGGAAGTTGCCCCAGACCAAAGGTTCAGTGTGGAAGACTAGAGCATTTTAGGGCATTTAAGCATTTACCTTTAATTTATTTATTTATTAAATATATGACAATAGTGGAATGCATTACACTCATTATTACCCATACACAGAACAATTTTTTGTAACTCTGTGTATAAAGTATGTTCACGACAAATTATGCCATTATACATGTACTCTTTTTTGCATTATAATTCTTAATACACATATATACCACAATTTTTCATATGTTTGTATATAAAGTATGTTGACACCAAATTCAAATCTTCAAACATGTATGTTGTATAATGATGACCGTCACATTCCACCATCCTTCCTAATCCCCTTCCCCCTCCCTTTCCCTGCCACTCCTCTTCCCTATCTAGAAATAATCTTCCTTCCATGCTCTCCCTTCCTACCCCACTGTGAGTCACCCCCCTTGTGGCAGAGAAAATATTTGGTATTTGTTTACTTAGCATTATCTTCACTTAGCATTATTTTCTCTAACACCATCCATTTACGTGCAAATGCCATGATTTTGTTCTTTCTTAGTGCTGAATAATATTCCATTGTGTATAAATGCCACATTTTTAATCCATTCATTCACTGAGGGACATCTAGGTTGGCTCCACAGTTTAGCTATTGTGAATTGTGCTGCTATAAACATTGATAAGGCTGTGTCCCTGTAGTATGCTGTTTTTAGGTCCTTTGAATATAGTATGAGAAGAGGAATAGCTGGGTCAAATGGTGGTTGCATTCCCAGATTTCYAAGGAATCTCCATACTGCTTTCCATATTGCTTTTTCTATTTCTATGAAGAATGTCATTGGGATTTTGATCGGAATTGCACTGAACCTCTATAGTACTTTTGGTAGTATGGTCATTTTGATAATATTAATTTTGCCTATCCATGAGCAAGGTAGATCTTTCCATCTTCTAAGGTCTTCTTTGATTTCTCTCTTTAGGTTTCTGTAGTTTTCATTGTATAGATCTGCCTCCTCTTTTGTTAAGTTGATTCCCAAGTATCTTATTTTTCTTGAGGATATTTTGAATGGAGTAGTTTGCCTCATTTCCTTCTCAGAGGATTTGTCACTGATATGCAGAAATGCCTTTGATTTATGGGTGTTGAGTTTATATCCTGCCACTTTGCTGAACTCATTTACTAGTTCTAGAAGTTTTCTGGTGGAGTTTTTTGGGTCTTCTCTATTTAAAATCTTTTTGTCATCAAATAGTGCTAGGTTAAGTTCTTCTTTTCCTATAGTTATTTCTTTAATTTCATTAATAGAAGTGGTGAGAGAGGGCATCCCTCTCTTGTTCCAGATTTTAGTCTGAATGCCTTCAGTTTTTCTCAATTTAGAATGATGTTGGCCTGGGGCTTAGCRTAAATAGCCTTTATGATGTTGAGATATGTTTCTGTTATCCCTAGTTTTTCTAGTGCTTTGAACATAAAGCGGTGATGTATTTTGTCAAATACTTTTT